GATACAGTGATCCACAAATCCAGCTGTGACCTCTCTTCAAGCATCACACCCCAACCCCACCTATAATCCCAGCACCCCCCACCAGCCCAAACTCATCAGCCCCATTATGGGGAGTCTGTACCCCTTAAAGGGGGTTAAAGGGCCTGGAGACGTGGCCAGTGACACAGAGAGAGCCAACCCAGTGCTGGGGGGATGCACTGGGGTTTGTGACACCAGAGCCCACACAGGGCACCCCTCACTGTGGTGTGGCTCATCCTGGAGGCGTGGCAGTGGGAATGCACTGAGTGTGCACTGAACGTGTGGGGCCGTGGATCCACTGGGCTCCAGATTATTGAATCAGAGAACCACAGAATCCCAGAATGGTTTGGGTTGGAATGGACAGTAAAACTCATCTCATTCCAGCCCCTGCTCTGGACAGGAACACCTTCCACTAGCCCAGGTTGCTCCAACCTGGCCTTGGACACTTCCAAGGATGGGGCAGCCACAGCTTCTCTGGGAAAAATTCCTTCCCAATAACTAATCTAAATCTAAATCTAAATCTAAATCTAAATCTAAATCTAAATCTAAATCTAAATCTAAATCTAAATCTAAATCTAAATCTAAATCTAATCTAATCTAAATCTAAATCTAAATCTAAATCTCTCCTCTTTTATTTTAAAATGATTCCCCCTTGTCCTATCCCTCTGTGCCCCTGTGAAAAGTCACTCTCCCTCTTTCTTATAACCCTCCTTTATGCACCTGAAGGGGGTCTAAGGTCTCCCCAGAGTCTTCCCTTCTCCATGCTGAAGACCCTCAGCTCTCCCAGCCTGGCTGCAGAGCAGAGGGACTCCAGCCCTTTGATCACCTTGGTGCGTGGACAGCTCCCAGCGCCACTAAATGTGCAGGTTTTGGGGACAAACCCAGTGGGGTGCAGCAGAAATGAAGTTTAATCCCTGTGCAGTTGTGTCAGAAAACATCTCTTTGTTCACTGGCATCTTTCCCAAGGCTCTGCAGAGGGTGAAGCTCCGGGCTGTGCTCCCGTGGTGCCACTGCAGTGCCCACAGCCTGGCTTTGCAGGATTTAAGGGCTCAGTCACCCAGGGATTTATAAGCTTCATTTTGTTGTTTCCAGTGGAAACATCTGGGCAGTGAGGAGGACCCAGTGCTGGCTGTGCCCTGGGAGGGGAGCCATGAGCACCTGCCCTCTGACCCTCCTGCAGATGCAGTGGTGCCCACGGCCCCTCCTCTGTGTCCTGCCTGCTGGTGTCGACTTTGCATCCCTTCCTTGGTGCCAGATGCTTTTCCTCCTGGACTCTGGGGGAGGAGGGCTTTTTGCCAAATTTATTAAAAGCCTTCAAACACATTTTTGTGTGAGAGAGCAGGAAAGCCCCCAGATCTCTGCTGCTGGGACCCAACTGGGCGAGTTGCTGCTCATTGGCATCAGTTGCTGTGGGAGCTGAGCTCTTAGGGTGACACCCTCAGTGTCCCAGGGCACTGGAAGCCCCTCACCCTCACCCCTTCTGCTGCCAGCCCTGGGGAGGGTACAGGAGGGTGCTGGGGGTGCCTGCCCACCCACCACCAGCCATCTGGGGCTGCAGTGAGTGAGGCTCAGCTGACAGAGCAGAGCTTCGTGGGCGCAGGGCCCGGGGCAAGGACGGCTCGTCTGCGCTGCCCCCGCTCCCAGAGATGCTGCCGGGGGGAGCTGGGGCTGGGAAAGGAGCAGACGTGCCTTTTCCCAGGAGACAGTGGCTGGGGAGGAGGTAGGGAAGGTGTTTCTTAAAATAATTGCTCCAGAGATGGACTTGAGGAGGGAAAGAATTCTGCTGGAAGAAGCTCCTCCCTGCTCAGGGTGCCCGGGTTCCTGTCCCCGTGTCTCCCCGGGCACAGCAGCTGCTCAGGCAGCCTCTCCCTTTCTCACAATATTGTGGTTGTCGTGAGGATAAAGAAAACAAATGAGCAGCTCAGGCTCTGCCTCTCCACATTCCACCTCTCCAGCAACTTGGGAGGCTGGTCCAGAAACAACTGATTGTGACAGGGCAACCTGAGCACACCCACACCCCTGCACAGTGGCTGCTGTGGATGGAGATGGTTCTAGATCATTCCCTGTGTGGCTGCAGCAGGCACAGGAGTCCCGTGGGCGTGCAGGTTCCTCCTGCTCCTGCTCACTGTCCTGCACATCACCTGGTGTTTCCCTCAGGAGCCCAGGGGTGTATCTGTAAACCCGTGTGAGCCCCTGATGACCCTAATGACAGATATTTCTCTCTCTGGGCATTAAATCCCTGAGAGTAAAATAAATTCCTCAGGCCCTGGGGGTGTTGAATCCTCCTCAGGTATGAGGTGGGTCCAACAGTGCCCTGCCAGTCCCTCTCTGCAGTGACCATTCCCGAGCTCCCTGTGCACATCCATGGGCAGGTGAATATCCATGGCCATGCCTCCCCACACCCAGCATGGAGCAGCCTGGCACCTCCACGTGTCTTGGAGCTCTGTTGCTGTTGGCACATCCCACAGCCCAGTTTCTGAGCTGTAGCAGCTCGGCAGGGCTGAGTCACCCTCGGCATGTGATCAGTTCGAACCCCTGAGCTCCCACCAGCCCTTCCTGCCTGCTGGGTTTGTCCTGCTGAGCAGCTCTGACAGAGGCAGGGTTAGGTTGGATATCAGGGATAAATTCTTCTCAGTGACAGTGCTGAGTTTGCCCAGAGAAGCTGTGGCTGCCCCTGTATCCCTGGAAGTGTCCAAGGCCAGGTTGGACAGGGCTTGGAGCAACCTGGGCTAGTGGGAGGTGTCCCTGCCCATGGCTGGGGGTGGGACTGGCTGTTTTTAAGGTGCCTTCCAGTTAAACCTAGTATGTGATTCCATGACTCTTTCCATGGTCCTAAGCAGGTGTGAGCCAGAGTGTCAGTGAAATAAATCACAGAGACCATAAAATCCCAGAACATCCTGAGCTGGAAGGGACCCACAAGGATCATCCAGTCCAACCCTCAGCCCTGCACAGGCCCAGCCCCAAGAGTCACCCCCTGTGCCCCAGAGGATCAGCCAAACCCTCCTGCAACTCTGGCAGCCTTGGGGCTGTGCCCACTGCCCTGGGGAGCCTGGGCAGTGCCCAACCAGCCTCTGGGGGAAGAACCTCTTTGTAATACCCAGCCTAAACCCCCCTCCCGCCGTTCCCTGGGTGCTGTCCCTGGTCCCCCCAGAGCAGAGCTCAGTCCCTGCCCCTCCTCTGCCCCTGCCCAGGAAGATGGAGACTGCAGTGAGGTCTCCCCATCTTGCAAACACCTCCAGAGTGTTGTCCTTGCCTGTGAGGGTCATCAGAGAGGGATCATGAAACAACATCCTGGGGCCCTGAGCATCATCCCCAGACTGGCAGTTCCAGGCTGCAATATTCCTGATGGGCTTTATTTTTAAGGGAGCGTGAGATGGATCTTACTAGGATTCTGAAAAGTGATGCAAAGTGGCAGGAGGGGTTGCAGGAGCTTATTTCCAACTGTGACGTGCCCTGGGACAACAGAAGGAGCAGGAATGTGGCCACAGCAGAACTGTTCCCCTTGCCAGGGACACCTGAGTCCTGTGGCTGAGGGCACAAAAATATGCAAGGTCTGGAGAGCAAAGAAGGCTGAATGGAAAACGAGACACAGGGAGGGATGTGGGAAGAAATCCTTATGGATTCAGAGTCGATAGTTGGGCTTATCAAAGAAAGGGCTTCCTTACAGAACACAGTGGAAAAGACCATCAAACACAGCTTAGAAAAGCTTCATAAAGAGCAAATGTTGTTAAATGAGCTGAAGGAATAGAAAAATCACCCCCTCCTGGGATGATAAAGGGGTTTTATGTGCACAGTGACCATGGAGAGAAGCACCAGGTTAGAAATCCAGGGTGGTGGCTCAGCCCAGCATTGCTCTGCTCTGGCATTTGGGGTGACTCTGAGTCCTGGGGAGCAGCTGGACCTGCCAAACTTCCTTCTGGGCACCTCAAAATCTCTCTGATGTTCCAATAAAATCATTTCAGTATCATGCCTTTTTTTTGCTCTGTAGGAAATATGGCTGCAGGAATTTCTTTCACCACACATTTCCATGTTCTAAAACATTTTTGAATGTAAAAAAGCTGAGGGTGAATCACATTTTTGCTTTAAATAAATCTCCTTTCATTCTTAAGGATGTGTTTGTCATCGGCTGTGTGACTTCTCTGATTGAGCAGTGCTTAGAAGGGATAAAGCAGCCAATAATCATCCCTAAATTCCACCAAGGAGTGCTTTATTGAGGCTGAGATAATGAGAGAGCCAAGGTTTGTGGGAAGAAATAAGTTTTTTAGTAAATCAAATTACAGACCTGGAAAATAAAGACTGGCTTTTAACCACAAATCAGAGTTTGGCCATGGCCATTTGCAAATATGCCCATTTTTTTTTCACTCTATGTTATTTAATGTAATGATGGTTGTGAGTCAGACCTGCCTCCCTTCCAGCCTCACACAGGAAGAGCTGTCACAGCACTGGCACAGGAGGGGACAACAGAAGTCATGTTCTCTTCTGCCAGGTGGGGGAATTTGAGAAATGATTTCTGGAACAGGGAAAAAAGTAGATGTCACCTTTCCTTGCTGCATATCTCACCTTCCCTTGGCTGTTTTCCTGCGGTTTCCTCGGGATGTTGTGCCTGGAGCCCCAGGGAGTGCCGAGGGGTCGGGGCTGTCACCAGCTGGGTGTCCAACACATCGTGGACTTTGGTGGCCTTTTCTCCAGTCCAAAATGTCACGAGGCTTTTTAGGCAATAAAAAGCAGTTTGGGCAGCTGGGCTGGTAAGCCAGAAAACTTCCTGCAGTGCCTGTTGAGTGCAGGGCTCAGCACCTCCCAGTCCAGCCTGGCCCTGGGAGTGGGTGCTGAGGGGTCACAGCCACAGGAGATCCTTCTGCTCTGATGGGCAGAACCTGCTTTGTCCTTCACTTGTCCATTTTATACAACCAACTCCCTTGTTTCTCCCAGCTCAGGAACCTTCCAGCCCCCTCAGACCTGCACACTGGCGAGGGCTGAGTGACCCATCCCCGTGTCCCCCCTCCAGGAAGGGTTCTGGGTGTGGGGAGGGCCTCCAGATGAGGAGGGGGCACAAACAAGGCCCTGGTTTGGTGTATTTTTGGTGGCTGGCAGGACATGGAGCTGAACAGGGAGGTGTCCAGAGAAGGGCAACCAGGCTGGGGAAGGGTCTGGAGCACAAGTGCTGTGAGGAGAGGCTGAGGGAGCTGGGGGGGATCAGCCTGGAGAGGAGGAGGCTCAGGGGAGACCTCCTGACTCTGCAACTCCCTGACAGGAGGAGGGAGCCAGGGGGGGTCGGGCTCTGCTCCCAGGAGCGAGCAATAGGACAAGAGGGCACAGCCTTGGGCTGTGCCAGGGGAGGTTTAGGTTGGACACTGGGAAGTTCTTCACAGAGAGGGATCAGACATTGGAAGGGGCTGCCCAGGGAGGAGGTAGGGTCACCATCCCTGGAGGTGTTTAAGGACAGACTGGATGTGGCATCAGTGCCATGGGCTGGGTGACAAGGTGGGGCTGGGGCAAAGAGTGGACTCGATGATCTCAGAGGTCTTTTCCAACTTCTCTGTGTGATTCCATGATGTGATGTTGTGCTTAATCTCGGAACAAACACATCGAGACACAAATGTTTGTGTTGACAGTGCCAAGGTTCCTTCTGGGGCCATGTGTGTTATTTCCAGGCCTTCTCCTGCCTATCAAATATGAGACTGTTCAAAGAAACCTCATTTTCACCAATCTTTCTGGCTCCCAAATTTTCTTTTGAGAAGAGCAGAGGAGGGGCAGGGACTGATCTCTGCTCTGGGGGGACCAGGGACAGCACCCAGGGAACGGCTGGAGCTGTGTCAGGGCAGGCTCAGGTTGGATCTCAGGCAAAGGTTCTTCCCCCAGAGGCTGGTTGGGCACTGCCCAGGCTCCCCAGGGCAGTGGGCACAGCCCCAAGGCTGCCAGAGCTGCAGGAGGGTTTGGCTGATCCTCTGGGGCACAGGGGGTGACTCTTGGGGCTGGGCCTGTGCAGGGCTGAGGGTTGGACTGGATGATCCTTGGGGGTCCCTCACAACTCAGGAGATTCTGGGATGCTGTGGCATCTCCTTTCCCAGGCTCTCACACTTCCCTCGGAGCTCACCACGTGTCTGGTGAGGGTGACACCAAGTTGTCCCAGCTCTAGCACAAATGGATTTAAAGCCAGGACAAACAAGACAACTCATTGCCTGTAAACCATCAAAAATTGGTCCACTTTTTCTTACACAAGTTTGGGAAGAGGTTCTGGAATCTCCACTGCTGCTCAGTGGTGAGAAAAGGCTTTGGAGTCTTGGAGAAGGTGGGAGTGGAGGGTGTCTGCAGCAAAGCAGACCGATCTCCTCCTCCCTGCCTGGCATCATTCTGCTCATGGCTTGGGGACTTGGTTGGATCTGGGACAATCCAGAGCCCTGAGCACCCTTTGTAATGACTTTACTCAGCCTGGTGTGTCCATGGTGCTGCCTTTGACTCCGCAGCTGGTCCCATGAGGTGGTGAAAGATGGAGAGAGGGCTGGAGGAAGGAGGTGACATGTGAGGAAGACCCTTTGCTCCTCAGGGTTAAAACCAGCTGCTCCTCCTCCTCTCTCCTCCTTCCTTCTTGTTCCTTCTGCCCAAGGCCCCCCAAGGGGACATGGGAGTCTCCCACACCCTCTGCAATGCCCAATCAGTCCTTACAAGCAGCAACCTGATTTCCCTCCAGTTACTCTGTATTTTGTCACTGATGTGTTTTCAAGCCACTGATGGCTCCCATGCCTGGGGATCCTGGCTATCCTGGTGGGAGAGCGAGGGACTAGGATTTGGAGGCAGCTGTGCCAACATTACACCATGGCCAGAGAGTAATCCAAGCAGAACCCACTCTTTTTAACAAGACATTTGAAAAACAGCTGCTTTGCCCCATGATACTTCCTGCTTTTTCTCTCCCTTCAGAGAATCCGTGGATCTTAATTCCCTGGCCAGACCTGAAAAAATCCACT